TACATATTAAAGAGTTTACAAGAAAGACATTGAGTAAAAACTTATAATATTGATGGATAAGTTATATGTTGAGTATTGAACATTTTGAGGAGATAGTCTAGTAACCCCTTGTGCACGGGGTCTGGCGTTGCTCAAGTAAAAGTAGCGACCCAGTAGTGAATGACAAAAGGATGTATCGAGAGTAGATAAAGTGATCCTCTTGTGGCAGTATAGGAAGGATGTGTTATGTAGCCAAGGTTAGACAATATTATCATGGCTGTGTAGTAAGATAAAGAAAGGCAAAAGTGATGGGGATAAATTTCAGCTTTTGTGTTAAGAACGAAATCTGTAAATGGAAGGTATCTGTCGGTTTTACTTTCCCGGTGGCTGTGGTGAGCGACTCAAGAATAGATGACAATAATTTTTTGGGGCGGACCACCTGAAGATTAGTTCCCCTAGCTTATTACACCATATGATTAAACAGCTTGACTTTGCCTAGAGATGGGATTAGGTTAGGTTAGTTGTGGTTAATCTTAAGGTGGAATAAACTGGGGGAAATTATCTTCAGGTGATCCATTTTTTTTTATTATATTGTTTCTTCTTTGTCTGTATGAGTAACATCAAGTAAACACCTAAATTAATCTTGTTTTCTCTTCCATAATAGGATTTCCGAGATCCATTTCACTTCGGGTATCAGCTAGAAGTGATCGTTCAACAGGTGTTTTGCATAATATTTCATCTCAACAACTAATTAGGATCTACCACCGTGATAAAATACAGCACAGAGATCCATGAATCAGAGGCCCTCACACCTCACACTCAGTAGGTAAACAAAACATCTCTGTAGGTGTCAACATTTATTCAAGTACTACAGAACAAAGATGACACTTCTATAACACAGACTACAAAATGTTACAGTGTCAAACAATAAGTATATACAGTTAATACATCAATAACAGCAGTGTATGAGCACTTCCATTTGTGGATTATCGGGAGACCTCAACTCTGTATGACTGATGTTAGGGAATCTGGGGGACAATTTTATTGACTAATTTTGTCACGGGGCGAAGCTATCACGTGGCCATAAAAAATATAAAAAGGCCGCCTACTTTTTTGTCATAATAATCCTTTCAAATTAATCTGTTATAATCTTGATACATAAGTCCTTAAAGCAGATCTTCCAGCCACTGGTATAAATAGTCAATGAATCTGAAGCGGAATTATATAGCCACAAGATGCGTCAACCAGTTGAATCTGAAGTGCGAATACAGAAGTGTTGTTGCTGTCAAGTTTTACCGTCGAGAAGTTTTATTGACCGTACGTGACGTTCGCTGTCTATTCCACACGGAGAATGAGATAAGCAAAAACTTCTATTTATGTCCAAAATATTAAGCAAAAGTCAACCTACAAATTTCTTATGGGGGAGAAGCGTGTCAATTACTATCACTTTGACACGACTGTACAAACAGTGTATGTACTGTACACGAGGCACACACGTGGCACAGTAAGAGATTGAATTTTAGTATAAAAATTGGTCACGCCTCAGTGATGGGACGTTCCCCCTCTACTAACTGTAACAATAAAAATTTCAAATTCTAATACAAATACAGTAAACAGGATGTGTACTAAAGACACATAATTATAGGACTTAACCTAAAAGGACACTAATATAATATTTACATTAAAGTACTGTACATCTGATGACCTTCCAAAGAACAGGAAATCTTTCGATAAAAATTTATCATTCAAACACAACAAAGTTTGTTGACAACATGTGAGCTAGAGGGGCCCTCAATATCGGCAGCCGATAACATGTTAACGCAGGACCAGACTAACATTGCTCACTAACCACAGTTATCACAAAGTGGAGGAATAGGACCCGCCAGTGAAGACCAACACGTACCTTGGAGCTCTGACTTCTCTTTATTTATTGTCCCATAAACAACACTTAACAGTACTTGTACTCACGTGACAGCTACCAATAACTCACATGTTGCCAGTTTACTCTTTGTATCAGTAATCAATATAACAAATCATGTTACCCACGTCTGATTATTCGTCAGCGCTTCCTGCTGCTGAGAAAACATCAGTAATTGATCAAATCAAATTTTAAATCCAGAGACGCACCACTTGTCTGCTAATTTAAAGTGGGGGATCAGTGAAATGTTTTATAATGTAAATCTCGAGATCATTCTATGTAATGTCATACTTTTGATAAAAATAATATTGATTAAAATATAAAAGAAGTGTTTTATGATCTGGGATTACCTTGGGTCTAAAAAAAATTTCTTTGGATCAATAAAATTTTGGTGACCGTAAATCCACGTAAAAATGGTCGTACTATCACTTTCTCACTCATTCCTGTTTACCACCCATAGGAGTAAACAAAACTGCAACAATAAACATGATAACTTGCCATGTACGTTAGAGGCACAAGTACAGTGTATGTTGCTTGTCTGAAAAGGATGACCGGTTTAACACTGGAGGAAGGGAACGGGGTGCGACTCCATGCTGTCCATCTTTAGCAACCTCGGCAAATACTATTTCCACTCGTGTTATCGGACGTCTTTTTTTCATCGTCTTTCGTATGAGCTGATGCGATATGCTTCTTCAGATTATCCTGGCGACTATAAGCACAGTTACAGCCGGGACACTTGAAGCGTCGGTTTGAACCATGAGACTCTAAGTGGCGCTTAAGGTGTCCCGAAGACGCGAATGTGACGATGCAATGTGGACAGGTGGCTTCGAGCCCTGGACTGAAGGATCGTGATGCACGTGGTTGGTTCATTTGGCTAGGAGTATTGCTGATGTTAAGCTTCGCACCATTATTCATCTTTTGTGTCAGATTCACAGGTACTATCTGAACCATCTGGCTGCCACTTATTGAAGGGACACCTAGAGAGGCGCTGGACATGGAAGATGTAGAAGGCAGAGTGGTAAAAGGTGGGAGTGCAGAATGAGAAGAGAATGCAGGGAGATGATGAGAAGGACCAGAGGAGTAAGCAGTGAACTGAGGAATCCCAGACAGGGTAGGCAGAGGAGGGCTTTCCCCAACAGGGGTTTGGGAAGAGGGATTTAGTTGAGGGCTTATAGTGGAAAAACTAGGAAGAGGAGCATGTGAGAGGTACTGGTGATAAGGTGGCACTGGGTCGTCACCGGTGAGACCATAGTTATTGCTGTAAGAAAGATTCAGTGTCTGTAAACTGGTGTTCTCCTCAGTCCTTTGTAAGGAAGTAGCAGCCGAGATCCTAGATATGTCATACGAATATGATGCAGCGTAAGGGTGTTTGAATGGAGGAAGAGAACCACTGTTAGGCACTGACGAATCTGACCTTGAGTTAAGGTTAGGAGGAGTGAATATTGGTGGGAGAGGCACCTTGGGAGATGGTGTGGAGGAAGAGCGGTCTCGTGCATTACCCTGACGACTTTGAAAACTTGGATGTTGTATTTTATCCACATCGTCAGAAGAGGAACTACTATTTACTCGGCGCCGCTTTACTGGGGGAAGCTGATCATTTACAGGTTTGGGAGATTTGTTGTTTGAATTGTCAGATACTATAGACCCTGAAGGAGAATACGTCGATGATGAATGCCCATAATAACTCGGTGGCTGTGGTGCCGACATCACTTGGTCATACAGACTCTGTCTGTGTTCCTGTGAAAGTATAGCTGTTTGGTACCCAGAGGTCCCCTGGTACTGACTTTGACCATAAACATAGAATTCTGGAGACACAGTCTCGACTCCATCGGAGTTACTGACAGAGAAAGAGGAGTGAAAGTTTAAATTGTTAAGATCATTAGCAGCGTGACCAGCGGAGCTCATAGAGTAAGCAGGGGAGCCGGAGGAGGCATGTCCAGCAGGGCTCATGCTGGGGTAAGGAGAGGAGCTGGCAGATTGGTGACCAGCTGGGCTGGCATTAGAGTACTGAAGACCATTGACACCATAATTCAGGGACCCACCAACGGTCTCGTTGGTGGACTGCAATAAACTGTTGACTGTCACTGTATCTGGGGAAGAAAGAAGTAAATGGTAATGTTGTATGCATCAATATTCATACCGCTTGTATGATGCTGTTACTGAGTGACGAAGTGTGGAGTTACGTGCTGGAGTTTAAATGAGTCTTTTCCAAGTTATCATGGATCAAATGAATGAGAGGGAAGGATAAAGGTTCTGGGAAGACCTACAGTAAAGAAGGGCATTACAAGTTTAATGAAGGGAACATTTATGTCAGTCAAATCGCTTTGCTATGATTCTTTTAATTCACTAACCATCGACAAAAAGATACTCTACATACCACTGACAAAAAATTCTGTATAAAAACATGACAAAACTAATAGTGCACAGTACTTACTAGCAGCAGCGTGTGAGTAATTCGGGGTGGGGGCAGGCGAGTCGCTACAGAGGGACAAGAAGTTGGCGTCTTCAGGGTAGTGAGCGAGAGTCTCCCTGGCCTCCGCCATCGCTGCCAACAGCTCGCTGGTGACGGTCAGCCCCAAACCCACACCTCCAGCACAACGCTTGCCTGCAGGAAATGCGGATATGGGAACACTTAGAATTTCGTTCTTTACCAATGTTTTAGAAATCTCAAGGATGATCTAGGCCCACTATACTTCCTCTGATAGACCTGTCTACTAAGTGTTTCATATATCATCTATGATAGCAAAACATATCTTTATAGACATATAACACTTTATTTCTACCTTTTTGCCATTAATAACACATACTCACCTAGTGTTCACCAACTTGACAAGTACCACACACCATTACTCCAAGCTTGCATCTACAAATAATATGCTACTTAGTTTTGGGTAATGGTAAATAATATCATTTGTGCTTGTGTTTATATATATATATATATATATATATATATATATATATATATATATATATATATATATATATATATAATGTATATATGGATAAATATATTCCATCTTTATTCAAGACATCTTCAGAGGCAACTGTTGCCTCTGAAGATGTCTTGAGACTAAGAGCAAGATTTATCTTATCCACGTTTTCATTGTGGATTTACATGAAATATATATATATATATATACTGTACATTAACTTCTTGCAGTCATTATCCCTTGTGTCGTCAGAAGAAACATGCCCTGCTAGGGTGTTCTTCCTTCACAACAAGAACTCAAATATTTATCTAGTTCTCTTTCTTTATAATTTCTTAGTGTACCAATTGCTTCCTTTTCTCTCTCTATTCTGATTCTTTTGTTTCATTCATTCATTGTATCTATTCCCAGGTATATGAAACAGCTTCAATGGGTTTCTCCCTCTCCTCGTCTCTGCCTATTTTTATCAATTACTTTTTATACCACACACCATTCTTGTTGTATCCACTTACATTTACAATTCTTCTACTGATTCACTCACCAGACCTATGCCAATAGTTCCTGACTCAATCTGCCCTAAACTTATACTCAGCTAACTAACTAACTAACTAACCTAAGAACATTATGTAACCTCAGTGACGTTGTACAAAACACCCTTGACGTAGTCCAGCTTTTACCGGGAGCCAGTTTCCGTGTGGAGCTCCCGATACGTCTGAAATTAATCAAGACAAGACAGCATATAATGTTATAATACGCCTTTAATCCAAGACTTATGTTGGCTACCTTATGATGGTATAAACCACCGTTTTGAACCATACAATATATTTTACCATATAAGATATAATTTTCATTAAGTTACATATATATATATATATATATATATATATATATATATATATATATATATATATATATATATATATATATATATATATATATATATATATATTTGTGTGTGTGTGTGTGTGTGTCACAATAAAAGAGCAAAAGATGTGTTGCCAGATAAGGATGATTTTTTTCTATTGCCACTATTTGTTGGAAAGTAATTCGTTGCATTAATATGAAGCTGTTCATTTATATGTATTATAATAATTTAAATGACTGTCTCGGGCCTGTCAGAAGTTTTAAAACAATACATAAAAGTTATCGTCATTTTGTAATTTTCCATATTTATCGTATCTTATAATTACAGTTTACATGGTGACGTAAAACAGAAACTGCTGAACAGAAGGGCTATAAATATCCCCCCCTTCTGGGACTGGGGAGAATGGACGCGACTGTCTTTCCCTCAACCCGCCCTCTCCCCTCCACTCACCCTCTCCCCTCCACTCACCCTCTCCCCTCCACCCACCCTCTCCCCTCCCCTCCCCGGCACTGACCTGGGGATATTGGCTGGGGAGAGGAAAGGAGTTGGGTGTGATGGTCGACCGGCCTCTCTCCTGCCCTGGGCCGGATATTCTAACTCTCCACCCACACCAGTGTTGTGTTTACACTTAATAACAGCTGATATCTTTACTCTCTGATTGGTCATCGTCCTATGGTTGTTTCGAATCCTTACATTTTGAAGGTCGGATGGCGTGGTTTATCGTCCCAACCCAGATCACCTGAAGAATCTCCACCCCAGCTTATTTTACCTACAGATTAACCCCCTTACACTATTTGAAGGCATGTACTTAGGTTAGGTTAATCTCTCGGCAATATAAGCTAAGGTGGAAATACTTCAGGTAATTCAAAATTCACTTAAACTCTTGTTAAAATGGCGGCCTCACCAAATTTCAGTGCCCATTTTTAGGACGTGGGCAGTAGTAACCCTCCACCGCACCTCTTGCCCTCCCGATCAGCCAACCAGACACAAGAGAGGGTTAGCTAGACTCCTCCTCCCAACCGCGTCCTTTCCTCACCTCCCCCCCTCCTCCTCCCCCCCTTCCTACCTCCTACTTTCTCCCTATTTATGCGTCCGAAACCTTACTGACGCGCGAAATTCATTACCCACCAATTATTTCTCTCATATTAAATTTACAGTAGACTGGATTATTTTTTTTTAGACATTCTGGCAATAATTTCATGCGATAATCAGTGAAATTATAGGATTAAATAGAAAGAAAATCGATTATCCCTCAACATATAAGGATTAACTTCGACATTACTGCATCAATATGAACACAGAGACGCGCGAACTTAAAATCCTCAAAATAGGTAAAGGATTTTTGGTGACTTCCTTCAGGATTTATTTAGTTTAATTTTGCTGTAGTGTCGTCAAAGATTCATTTTCAAAAGACTTAAGTAAATCCGATGAGATGGAATTATATAAAACACTTTAGGTTTACCCTTTTGGAGACAACTATTTTCCTATAGAAATTCTTGTTATTGGATTTCCGTTTATCATCACCAAAGCTAAAGAAAACCACTGGAACAACACGCTGAGATGACAGACACGCCCAATTACGTCCACACAACTATTCCTAACTACCGAAACTAGTCAAAGACGCTCAACAGCCATCAATAGTTTCCTCTAAGACGTAGGTATCAACCTTAACTAACTGCGTATACCACTCAACCTAATGATGCTTGATACACGTAAAAGAATTGTATGATAGGAGAGACTTGTCAAATACCTCCACGATGAGCACACACACACACACACACACACACACACACACACACACACACACACACCACCACACACACACACACACACACACACACACACACACACACACACCAATAACTAATCATCCACAGTATAAAGTAATTTTTAGTAAACATGAAATCTGAAATAAGGACAAAAACAAAATAAAGATGGACTAACCTGCAGAAGTGGGTCCAGCAGTAGAGGCAGGGACGGACATAGAGAGAGACCGTAACCCACAAGGTCGTCCGTGCATAACTATATTACAATTGAATGCAACACATCTCTCAAAATAAAATCGCAACACACGTCATTTGACCGAGAGAGGAGAGGTTCCGTCCGCCGCTACACACAGACAAGTAATGTTTGTAAGTCGTAGGCAACTGAAGCTAGTATTTGACCCTTTCCACCCCCCCCCTATGACCTTCCCTCATCCCCCAAACTATGACCCCACCCCCTTTGATGACCTCCAACCAATCCCTTGCCTCCTCGCCTACTTGGATCAAGCTGGGCCAACTAGTGAAAGATATTTAGTCAAACACAACGCCGCAGAAAATATAGGAAGTAACTGAGTACATATACAGTCACCTAAGCATGAATGTCTCTTCTCGTAACGCACAGATTATTATAATATCTGTATATAACCTTAGTACGAGAGCAGTTGTGTTCGGGGGGGGCGCTGTTTAGTGCGTATAAATTGATACAAACTACACGTTGACTTAATATCTATACAACAGGATATATGTAAAAATATACTTTTGTATCTGTACTAAATGTTCTTGACTCCGAAGCTTATATTTTGGCTCCACCACAGCAAATGAATAAGAACATAGTAATGAGATATAATATAACTAAAGAACCAATTATACTCTTGGAAAAGTATGAAATATAAATAATTATGTCACACATTATTGCTATTAACAGCATTATCATATTCATCAGTATTACTAATATCGTTATTACTATTCCTATTGATGTAGAATATTGATACGTCGAGGAATGAGAATATTTTAACCCGACGGACACAAGCACTTAAAAATTATCATGATGAAACTCGTGTGCTTAACGTAAAGAGAAATTAGTGATTCACTGAAAGCAATACATTACATTATCTGCGACTTATTCGTTATTACTCACCCTGTAATAACGTACCTATGACTATGTATGACTTCAACTATAGAGTCAATTTCTAATATGACAAGGAATAATAAGGCAGAATTATCCTCAAGTTATTAGGCTCTAAAGTTTTATTACAAACGGTCATTGAAGCAAAATTGATAAGGGAGAATGTCAGAGAGTGAGGTAAGTGAAGCTAGGAATTCAGATGACAATAACTAGTGATGGTAAATGCTGTACAGAATGCTACGTGGGGGGGTGTTAGGTTACGTTAATTTAGGATAGGTTAGGTTAGAATAGGTTAAGTTAGCGTTAGAGTGGTTAATCTTCAGGTGAAATAAGCTAATATAAACACAGTCTAGTAATGTTTAGAACGTGAAGGAAGTCTCAAATAATGACAGATTTATCATATAAAACTAACCGATGGAATTATGACGATATAAGAAAAAAAATCAAATTTCTCAAGAGTCTTTCGCGTTTTCAGGCATAATCGGATATTTATTCCTTAACCTGGTGCGAATGTGTTGTTTTATTTCGCTTAGGGTCGATGCTGCTTCAGTTTAGGAGAGAACGGACGAACTTTTGGCCTCGGGTGTACGGTAAACTGACTATTTAATTTAAGAAATCCTAATCTATCTTAATGTGGGCAAAGATGAAGTTAAGATCATTAGATTAATACTGTTTCAATTTTATTATATTTACAATGTTGTCTGTTTATCTATACATGATCGTCTCTACAAATAATAATGCTTCAGAACAAGAAGAACTTTTGATACAACAGTGACTTTGGCCAATGTTTACAAGATCCCTAAGCTGCCAAGAGATACACATACAGTACATTCTGATGAAATAAATACAAATACTAGTCTGGGGGGAGTATTGGGACAGACAGCTACAGGTATCTGACGTTAAATGTAATGGAATAAAAACTCAAAGATAATGTAGAGGTGTGTTAGACAAGGGGCTCAGACACTGGTGAGAAAGTATTGAGTGGGAGACAGGAAGCGTACAGCATGTGAGGGATCGGTGCAGGAGACGAAGAAAAAATAAAGTGTGGTTTTTGACATGATAAGACTATAAGAGTAACTAAACGTGATATAGTATTGTCAATGACTGTATGATATATAGGGGGTGTAAAGAGTTATATAAGGGAAGAAACCGGGAAAATAATATAGTGTGGGAAATATGGACAATCAGAGGGTAAATTGAAGGAATATTTAGGAATTATCCAAGAAAATTTCAGATATAAATTTGTACGAAATATTATAATCCCACATTACAAAAGAAAATTAAATAAATAAAAACAAACAATAAAAACAAAGAATTAATTCCTTCTTCACTATTCTTTCTTTTCTTAAATAACAAAGAGAAAATCCACACAAGAGTCTAAACAAATAGAGAGTGACACAAAACATCGACTTTAACTTAGTGTTTACAGTCACCTCACGACAGAACTAGTGACAGCTGACGGAGATAAGGTCTATATTTGTATTCTATTCTTTAAAACAGTCTTCCTCAATCGGTGGTGACTCACTGTACCACTAACTGATAATAACTGATAAAAAGTGGGTAATTTTGTCTTGTTTTCTTCCATTTCTTTTGCCATCGTCATTATCATCGTTGCTTTCCCCCGTTGTTCTCTTTCTAGTCTGTCCATCACACACATACCAATCCAAAGTCACTATATGCATGTAATTCACCGAGCCATTTCCTTAGATTGGTGAATTTTAGATTTTTTTTCTTCTTAATCGATATTTTATTTTTTACAGGGGAAACTATGGCGGACAAACACTTACCGGACAAAAACTCACAGGTTATCCCAGGTAATGTAAGCCGTTGCACCTGGCCAATCACCTCTGCTGGTTCCATCTACCGAAGTATTAATCTATCCTAAAAGTTAATATTTTCTCTTGGTTTGTGGTCAAATTTAAATTTATACTCACACAAAAATCGTACACACACACACACACATAAACACACACACATGCATAAGTATACGTTACACCACAGGTCGCCACAACACACAAATATACATAAAAAACAGTCATACAGATAATACACATGAGAGTTCATTTAAGGTCAGTATAGTATGGGTGTTGCTCATCACCACTTTAACGTGTATATGCATCTTAAGACGGGGAATATTCTTAAGTCAAGTGGACGAGTCTTCTCCCTCGTCACGACTCAATCTACTCACTTTAAAGTCCTAACGTAATATATCCCAAAATACAGATCACGTCTCTGCCTCAGGACTCAATAACTCTCGAGAACACGTATAGATTTACCCACGGGATTCCACTTTCTGTAAGGCATCTGTACAGTAGGTTGTTAGTGTTAATGTTCTTATATAAAAAAAAAAGACATTAATCTTTTCGTTCTTAAACCAGAGAAAGAAATATGATGAAAACAGCCTATGGAAGTATTGTTTCTTTTAGAGCCCTTATCAATTCATAAAGGCTGAAGGTTATTCTATGCTTCAAAGTGAATCATTTTGAAACCTGGAATATCTTACTTTGTTTTCTAAATCACAGACTATCATAATGTCACAGGAAGTTCGTGTTACTGCCGACGAATATGGGGAAGCATTTTTGTCTCAGGGCGGAAGAGTTTCTGCCTTAGATGTGGCGTTGTCTTTTATATCTCAAGGTGTGCAATATATACCAATAGGTAATATACGAGTATGTTGTTCCTGTGTTGAAATAGTCATTGAAGAAACAACCTCTCAAACTGTATTTCTTTTTTACTTCTCAAATACGTTTTTTTTTCTTTGTTGGGAATCATTTTGTCCCAACTTCCACGTGGATAGAGAGGAGCGCATGCCAAGGTCTAATATAGCAAAGTCTGTCCCTGCTCTTACGTTCAGAGTCCTCCCCTAATGAGAGAGAACGCCTGAACAGAGAGTACAGTAGTGGCAGTGATGGAGGGGGCAGCAACTGGTGATTCACATGACAGGAAACGCAACATTACTCCCGTGGGAACGAACACAACGGCGCCTTGAACTTTCACCTCTCAAGAAAGTTATATAAAAGATACACAACAGAGATATTACGACACAGGTGCTTCGTCAACAGTAGCAACAAAAGAGCTCGCTGAACCAGAAGAACGCATTGTCATTAGTACGCAACGGTTCCAGTACAGTACTAACTTAAAGACATCACCATGAAGCCAGACATCTTTATACTTCTGCTCCTTGGTATAGCTTCTCCATGTTTGTTTATTCATTAAAAATTGTTTTATCTCCCGGTACATTTAGAGAGAACAATGCTAATAAATTTATGTAGTTGGATAGTCGTCTCATTGTTTATCTTGACAGTAATTTCCCTCTGTATACCAAATGAGGGTAATAAGTGGTAATGAGTTTGTTTGTTTATTATTGTCTTGACTCGTTAATTAGTTTTAATATTACAAAGGGGATGGAGTTTAGACCTGGGGGGTTTTAATCCAATGACTGTCCTTAAAAGGTTTGTAGTTACTGTCTTTTGTGTTATATAGGACGGCGATGGAGTCCCTGTGACTATCCTTGGAATTAATAACAAAGTGAAGAATGAGAAATGCGAATAAAGAACATAATAGAACGATAATGAAAAATAGACACACAAGCGGGAGGATAACTGAGTTGTGGCGAAGGATTATTATTATTATTATTATTATTATTATTATTATTATTATTATTATTACCGGTGATTTTTTATTGTGCTTTACATAGCCATTTAAACATGCTCTTATTTGCAGCACTAAACTCTGTATCAACTATGAAATTCTTTAATGAAATGTTCGACAAAAATGAAAAACATATTTAGCCTTCAACTCAGTCCTGCGGTTATCGTGTTTCCCTAATGGTCCGTAAATATCATAAGTGTGATTCCTCTTACTAGAATACCACCTCATTCTACAACTACTTCTACAGGTTCTTCTTTCACTTTTTATTCGTCGACCGGTGCTGAGATGGAGCCAACCAGCTATCAAAACACGGCCCGGGAACACCAACACGCAGCCAACCATCATCAAGTGACCCGGAGTGCAACAGACCGTAAGTAATTTTCTTTTTAATATATTTTTTTTACTTAATCCTGTAATTCCAGTCTTTTGTTTAATTTGCTTTACCTTTATATAAGAGAAGTTGTAATATTGAAAGCTTACGAGTGGTTAGTGTCCAGATAATCACGGGTGCGAGTCTCCAGGAGATAAAGTATGGTTGAGATCTGATGTTTGTCAGTACTCGTGTATAACTAACGATATTCCCACCAGCTTGTCTTAAAAAAAATAGTCAACTGGCTCTCAAATACCTATCCTATCCTGTCCTATCCTATCCTATCCTGTCCTGCCCTGTCCTGCCCTGTCCTATCCTATCCTATCTCAACCTGTCTGTGATATGTAACACCAGGTCTATGCTGAGGATCGCATATAGGCTCACCAGCTTATATCAACCTGATGGTAAACACCCTAAGGCTACTGGAGTGGCTAGATTAGGGTGCTTAATCATCAGGTGGACTAAACTGGGGTGTCTAATCTCCATGTGACCCCACTTGACTGGTGCCCTGGCTTGATTTGTATTATTTATAATGTATTAGATAAATCAAGTTTAATAGGTCATATTGTAAGGCTAGACCCTATTGTCTTCCTTCCCAAATCCATCACAAAATATATTCGCCATACTCCCTATTGATGTTTCTCCTCCATTCTTCCCTATTTAATTTAACACCATCTAGACTACTGTTTTTGTTAACAGTATCATATACAATGTGTCTCTTATTTCCTCCTTTTCAGTGCCTTTTAATGTATGTATTTCGTGTAGTATCTCTTGCAAGTCGACCCAAACTTCACTAATTTATATTTCTGTACGTTACGAAAATCCATATTTTAATTACATCATCTTTCACACCAATTCTTTATTCTCTTCACCTCTCACGAAGTTTAGTCTCTCACCATTCTTCCTACATTTATCATAATATTCTAGATACTTTTTAACCCTATTATGTAGTTTATGTCACTGTTTTTATAATTTCTTGACTATTTTTAAGGTTTTTCATGTCAATTGTTTATCTTCTGGTGTGACGTCAACACTGTCTTCCACGCAGAGTGTCCTATACCGTACATCACTATTGGAGGTCGGTGTTTGTTCTTCGACATAATAGCTACAGGCAGTTGGCACGATAAGAAGTACATCTGTGAGACTCTGGATGGCCACCTCGCTATTGTGGACGACGCCAACTTTCTGGGGGATATTACTGATTACATCTACGCTCATGGTAAGTCTCCCTGTGTGTACTTGGTCATCCGGCAGAACCAAGGCTGTCTTATTATACGACTTGGACTTGCCCTTCTGTAGGTGTTGATACAGAACTTGAGAGGTGATAGCTGGGCTGGATGGTAAACCTTGCGAGTATTTACGAGTATTAGAATAAATAAACCCTATGCTGCATGTCCTTCAACCTTGCTCTAGGTATCGTCCTCTTGGGTCTTGTTCTTGAGCTGCCACTAAAGCTTGGGTTATGGTTTTCACAATACACTTCAACATCTGTGAATTTATTTTCGATATTTCTAAAATCCTTATTACATGGTTGCTAGCTGCGTCAGATCCGTCTCTGCAATAGCGATCAGAACTACTCTTTTCGTGGTTCATGCCCCCCCCACCCCCTCCCCTCCTAAAACAATGGAAAATTGGCGGACGATAAAGAACAACCCGCCATATACGGACTGCGTGTATGATAGAACATGGACAGGACTGTCATGTACCACATAAAACGGATTTGGGAGACCATGACGGCTTCACCACTCTTAAAGAACGCCTCTTTACTCATAAGTTCATAAAATAAAAGTTTGATGCGGAACATTCTTACATAGAACTCGGGTTGTGGTTGTTAGCCAGAAATAATTTTTTTAAAGCTATGATAATTTTTGTTTATCAACATATTATTTTACCTTAAAAATTGGCCAAACATTTCTGCATTACAGAGTTAACAGCTGTTGCCTACTGGCTGGGAGCGAGTGACGAGGAGGAGGAAGGGTCGTGGAAGTGGGTGGACGGTTCACCAATGAGAATGGGAATGCCACTATGGCATAACTGTACTCACCCGGACCCCGATGGCGGAGTGAAGCAAAACTGTCTCGAGATTGACAGTTTTTACTCATATTACTTCATAGATGATGTGTGTGACCTGATGTTAAATTCAATATGTGAATATGACATGCAAAAGAGTACAAAGTAAAGCACAATAATAAATATGCCCATGAATGAAGTTATACAAAATTTATTACTTCCTGAGAATATACTGTGATACTTATGCTTCTAGGCTATAATTTAAGAAATACACAAACACTGACCATCACCTGGCGAAAGTACAACCAGTAGATGGGTTAGGGGCTCACCTGCCCCTTACCCACCTGGAGGAAACTGACTAAACAGTTTGTTCTCTTCATAACACAAGTCTTAATGCAGGTTGTTTATATTGACATACTAAGTCCCATAATATACACACAGGTACGATGTTTAGATTTACATTAAAGTTCACCACATTGATTACTTTCTTTTTAATATACTGGTGCTATTTACCTTATCTTTACATATAGTAAGAGAACATGACTGTCTGTGTGTCTGTCTGTCTGTGTTCCAGCCAAAACGAAGGTAGTTAGACACTTGTAAGCCTTACACACATATTACATGGGTGCCAAGGATGTGCACCTTAGTATTACTACTGACCACAGACACTCGGGTAGTTCAGGCAAGAACCAAAAATCTTCCCCAACTGAGATATCACCACAGCGATTGTGGGAGGTGGTTACCCGTGTCAGGGAGGGCACACTGTGGCAGTCAAGGTAATACAGTATATACAGGGGCGGATGTAGGGGGGGCTTCTGGGGATTCGGACTCCTCTTTTTCATCAGAAAATTCCATTACTTTTTTCTTATATGAAGTATTATAAACAGGCATTTTTGTATAGTAAATAGTAAAACGTAATTACTATTTTCCTCAGAATATTTCCTAATATCAACTGTACATGACTTCAAAATGGCCTCAATATGTCCAAGGTATTGGGGGACTTAAAGCGGCCGCCCCCCAAATCCTCCCAGCTGGGTGGCCATGTTTCCCTCACCCACAACTTCATGACCCCCTTTTGATATTCCTATAGATCCGCCCCTTATGTACCTATCCCGAGTGAAGCCGGGTAATATGCGGGCGGGCGTGTGTGCGTGCGTGCGTGTGCGTAAATATTAACTAGTTGCAGTAGGGGGACGCTCTGTAATGTAAGACACTGTACAATATCAGAACACGTACAGTACCGGTACACCAAAAGTAACTGGGAGAAAATCAGTGAACCCCATCCCAAATTATTCGTTTATTAATGTAAGATAAAACAAATTTGGAAAAAAATTTAATAAAAAACTATGGTATGATTTTGTGGATAACTTCAAACATAGATTAGATGGCTATATTAGCCATCGAGGTTAGCTGTAAACGGGACTGCCCATTATGGACCAATAGGCCCTCTGCAGTTTCCTCCATTCTTGTGTTCTTTTGTTCTTATGGCAGGGACGCGAAATCTATCAAATGTTTTAGGGAATTGTAATGGTAATTCCAAGTTAATTTAAACTCTGGTGTACATTATGAGTGAGAATTGAATGCCAGTAGAACGGTCATGGTTGAATAGATATGCGTGCTCTTGTTAAGGTTTTGGTGATCTAACTATTAACCTCAGCTATTATAACCTGTCATAATCTAAACTACCTTAACATAAACTAACCCAACTAACCTAACATGAAATTAAAAAATCTAACCTTACCTAACCTACTTACACCTTCTTATATATTTCTATTAAATATTTTACTTTTATTCTTCACTCAGGTGTAAATAAATCTTGGGTGGGCTAAAGGTATCTCCGGCTCGAACTAACAACTATTAGGACATAGGGAGAGCATTGTACCCACTCAGCCACCGCACTGCCATCGAATCAACTTAAAAAAAATTAATATCCAGTTACATACACTCATACAACAGCTAATTATGTTTATATAATCTTAAGCTCCATGTAACATAACCTCTACTGCTGAACTCATAGAGATTGTGTTAAGAAATATATAAGATTTTCTTTCAGTTAATACCTGGTAGTGGAGTACAGATTGGTCTAGCCGCCTCTACCTGTGACTTTTAACAGGTAGTTATGAAAAAAAAATATCTGTTCCTTGTTGCTTTATTGCATAAGATCATTCATTATATACGCTATAAAAATAAGATGCCGATAAGTTGATGGGCGGCGAATATGATAAACAAAAAAATACTAGTACCAATTTTCTTCTTTTATTCGTTTCGTTACGTATCTAAAATTAGGCATATTGCATTCTTCATCAACTCACAATCATTATCCATGAAGTAATAAGAATATTTTTCAAAGATAGAGAAACAGTTTCGTTTCACTCCGCCATCAGGGTCATGGTAGCTACAGTTGGCCTGTGCATGGCAGCTCCTGTCGAGAGTTACTACCACTCTCTATCATCCATGAATCTATCCAGCCTCCCTTTGAAACTTTCCAGCGTTCCAGCACTTACTACAAAGTTGCTAAGCTTGTTCCACTCGTCCACCACCCTATTTGTAAACCAGTTCCTTCCTATCTCCCTCCTAAACCTAAACTTATCCAACTTGAATCCGTTGTTCCGAGTCCTATCCTGCTCGGATATTATAAGAACTTTATCTATATCACCTTTATTGATTCCTTTCACCCACTTTCTAGGGAATGCAAGTTTAGTTTCTTTAACCTATCCTGATATGGAAGGTTTCTAAGTCCCGGAATCATTTTCGTCATTCTTCGCTGCACCGACTCTAGTGAATTGATATCCATTCTATAATAAGGGCACCAGAACTGAACCGCATAATCGAGGTGCGGCCTGACTAGCGCAAGATATAGTTGCAATAAGACCTCTGCACTCTTATTACTTACACTTCTAGATATAAAACCCAATACTCTGTTTGCCTTATTTCGAACAGTAAAGCACTGTTTTCTAGGCCGTAGGTCCGGGCTTACAAGTACCCCTAGGTCTCTTTCACAATTCGACTTCTCTAGGTTGATGTTGTTAAGGCTGTATACATTAACAGTATTTGTTCTTCCAATATTAAGTACGCTGCACTTGCTGGTGTTGAATTTCATTTGCCATTTTTCAGACCACCCCTGCAGTTTATTTAGATCCTCCTGTAATGCATTTGCATCCTGCCCTGAATTAATCTGCCGCCCTATTTTGGTGTCATCCGCAAACTTGCTTATGTCACTGCTGATCCTAGTATCTAGATCGTTTATGTAGAATATGAACAAGAGTGGGCCTAGTACTGACCCCTGGGGAACCCCACTGGTTACACGACCCCACTCACATTTAACACCATCTACGCTGACCCTCTGCGTTCTATCGGTGAGCCATGATTTTATCCAATTTGAAACTTTCCCCTCGATACCGTGAGCCTTAAATTTTCTCAGACGCCTCTGATGCGGTACTCTGTCAAATGCTTTGCTAAGGTCTAAGTAAATAACATCGTAATTTTCGTCATTATCTACTACCTCGAAGACTTTCCTAAAAAATGTCAGCAGATTTGTTAGACAAGCTTTTCCCTTTGTAAACCCATGTTGAGAGTCGTAGATTAATTTGCTTTTCTCTAAATGCGATCGGATGTTATCTGCTATAATTGAAGGCCTTATTTCGAACATTAACACACCTGAGATATACTAGAGTTCGCTATTCAACTTTTAATCCTCACATTACAAGAGAAACAAGTCAGTCGGGAAGGTATTGCGTCTACTGATATCTGCCTGAATAATAAAAAAACATCTCTTTGTGTATAATAACTTTAGGTTAGCAAGAGGTCACCTGAAGTGTCACCCTCCCAGATTAGTGAGAGAGGTAGACCTCACCTTAATCCTTACCTAAAGATTCTCCCTTCCTATATAGTCCACCTGTAGTTTAACCATCCCGATCCTACCTGTGGGGGGGGGGGCTATTCTTTATGTGAGAGTGTGGAGTCAATAACATACACCAAAATACACCAAACTTACATGGCCAAAAGCAAGACAGTGTATTATCTAATTCACTTCTGCTGTTCAACCTGTTGTCGGCTCTAATGGTGTGACCCAATTACTGCCTGTCTTTAGATCATATGTCGCTCTCTCTCCTGCTTTTAAGCCCCACCCACACTAAATATCATCCCGCCAGGTTCAACAATGAGTTAAACGGATATTAGTCCATGTTATTCAGATGTCACGAGATAAGAAATTTTTATGTTAAAATATACAATTTAAGTTGTAGTGAATAATAAAATAAGAAAAAAATGAGAAATATAGTTAGATATATCTTATAAATATAACTTGACCTACTTTAGCTCCTCCTTTACCTCGCCACATCCTCTACATAAGCTGACAAGTTTAGAGAAGGTCAGGTCACCTCCCCCTCCCCCCCCCAGGAGGATTAGTTAGCCTAAGAGAATAATTTGCCCATTGAGTATTAACATATAACCTCGGCTGATTATAGACATACGGACACGACTAAAAATAATCCTCTATTCCTTGAAAGTGTCACCATCAGCCACCAACCCGCATGATAATTAAATAAACTGCAACGTAATGCAAACCTAAATTTAAAAAAAAAACAAGTTGATATATAAAGTTTGAATTATATAAAGCTAGAGATTTGTGATTTAGATATAGATGTTTAAACTCTGTGCTTGGGAACGACGATAGACAGTTTTCTTCCACGAATTGTAACATCATTTGAGGTGACCGGAGTCGTGTTGGACAGCATTCGGCCAGTATTAATTAGAGGATAAGTACAACTAATTCACTCTACTAGATGCTACTATACTATACGGTCTCCCGGGATATTTGCACCTAACCTAACCTAACCTAGGTTTTTCATAAGGGCAACAAGACACTGGTAATTAAGCCAATCCTCCAATTGGGTGACAACATGTGGATACCACTTAAAAAAAAAAAAAAAATTAACTCACATCAACTGAACTCTGATCGTCAGCCCTGCAATGAAGTCCTGCGATACCTCATCTACAATAGATATTTCTTGTAGGGTGACCAACGTGTTCAGACGTATCAAGGTATAAAAGTCATGAAAACTCAACAAACTTTAAATTTTTTGACATAATAACACATGGAGAATAAAAAAAATAGAGATTATATAATGAGATGCATATAAGTCCCGTTTACACTTGATATACGTTTTGTTTTGCTGGTATGATATAATCGGACTTGAA